GACCAGGGAGTCTTCAACCCGCAGGCCGAGACCATCTTCATCACCGGCGACGCTGGCGTGGGCAAATCCATCGTTCTTCAGAAGCTGCAGAATCTGTGGTCCAGAAGAGAGCTAAAGACTCGCGCCAAGTTCTTCTTCAAGTTCAGATGCAGGATGTTTAGTGCCTTCAAGGAGACCGACGAGATCTCGCTGAAGGATCTGATCTTTAAACACAACTGCTATCCAGACGGCGACCTCGACAACGAGGTCTTCACCTACATCTTGCGATTCCCAGAGACGGTGCTTTTCACCTTTGACGGATACGATGAAATCCAAACGGATTTTGATTTGGATAACGTGCCGGAAACGGTTTCCCCGGAGGAAAAGACTCATCCACTTTTGCTTCTCATGAACTTGCTTTGCGGAAAATTGCTCAAAGGTTCCCGGAAGATTCTGACTGCACGAAGTGGCACCGAAGTCCAAAGCAGAGTGATCTGGAAGAAGGTCTATTTGAAGGGATTTTCACCTGAACACCTGAAGAGATACATGGCTTTGCATTTCCCAGAGAAGGAACACAAGACAATGGTGACCGATCAACTAGACGCCAATCCTCACCTCTGCGGTCTTTGCTCCATCCCGTTGTTCAGTTGGATCATCCTCAAGAGCTTCAAGCATCTTCATTCGGTATATGACAACTTTGAGTTGCCGGATTCTTGCATTACGCTCACAAACGTCTTCTTGCTTCTTTCCGAGGTCTTTCTTGGACACTCGACTGCACGTCCTGGTCTTTTAAAACGGAGTACGAGGTGTCCAGTGGAGACCTTTAAAGCTGGTGAGCAGAAGCTTGCAGCTTTCGCTCGACTGGCCTTGCATGGTCTCGAACGGGGAGGACTTGTGTTCAGTATGGAGGAAGTGACATCCTGTGGATTAGAAGATGAAGTCCTTCAGTTTGGGTTTCTGAGGCCGGCTTCTCATTACGATGGATGCGGAGGTTCTGCGACCTTCGAGTTTCTCCACGAGACCCTCCAGGCCTTCTTAGCGGCGTTTTCATTGGTGCTGGACTCCAAAATCACTCCCGAATCTATTCTAAGTTTCTTCTCCAAATGCGAATACAAGAGGTCGTCGCATCTCTCCTGCTTGCCTTGCTTGGGAAAGTCGAGACCTAGAGATAAAGATCCTTTCCAAACCAACTTCCAGTTCACCAATTTATTCTTATGCGGCCTCT